TATATTTGTCGACTGTCGCGTGAGAGGCAACATCGTGCAAACCTGCGAAAGGGCCTCTGGAGCCCTCTGGGTGAAGAGCGGGTGATGGGGGGCCTGATGTGCCGCACCGGAAAAACCGCTACGCACAGCCCCTGTTCCGTACGTCAGTTTGAGGCATGTACGACATGTACAATAGTAAGCCTACGAATTGAGGTACAGGGAAGGAGCTGCAAGCGTGAGGCGTATGTGTGTGCGTGTCCGTAGATGGAGACATGGTTAGTTAACAGGTGGTTATTGTTAGTTAGGACGTCCGCAATCGGTTAGTCAGCGATATATAAAACGGGGGTGATGGTGGGTCGATCATTATAATAAACGCAGCAGTCGGCTCATTTAGGGCGAAGTGGCAGCAGCACGAGGAGGAGGGCGAGGGCGAGGTGGACTGTAATATGTACACACATATAATCCACAATACACGCATACAGGAATGGAAGGTAACTGCAGGCCGGCTGCCATGGGGTGGGGGTGGGGGTGGGTGGTGGGGGTGGGTGGTGGGGGTGGGTGGTGGGGGTGGTGATGCCTGGAAGCCGGAGATGATGTCGACTTTACAATCATGGCGCAGAATGCAGACCTGCAAGTACGTACATACGTACATACATACAAATGTATACACCCTTTATTCACGACGCGGCTTGTCATGCGCATATATAAAGCGATTTGTTACCGTACATGCGGGGCACTCCTCTTTTTGCTCAAATTCGAAGTATTGGAATTTGCGAATGCATGCATCGCATGCTATGTATCGCGAATACCGGTAACTGGCATCGGCAACCGTTAACAACCGTATTAAACCGGTTTGCTGACTTTGGACTTTACGACCCATGGGCCATGTCCCTTTAAAACAGTGAAAATCACAAAATCGACATGTCCTAGTCATTAACCGTTAGCGCTAACGGTCGGTCGGTCATTGAAGTGCTGCTTGTTTATTTCCTAGGGTTGTCAGGACGCGTCTTGCGTCTTGGCATCTTTCAAAGGTTGATCCGTCGTCGCAAGAGTCTCCTAATCGGAAAAGAGAGAGGGGAAGACAGAGGGATAAGCGTATGCGAAAGGAGATGCGCGCGGCGTCTGGCGCGCGCGCGCGAGCGAGAGGGTGTGAGTCGTAGCAAGGGTGAGGGGGATGGAGGAAGCGAGAGCGTGAGAGGAGTGTTGGTGGAACAGCAGGTCCCATTTTGATGTGGGAAGCAGGTGGTGCTGGTGGTGTCATAGATGTCGTTAAATGTCGGTGCATTGCCGAGCGCTTTGGTGGTGTCAGTGATCTGTTGCGGAGGATGAGAGGGAAGGGAACGGAGGGACACAGGAGTCAAAGAGCCAGATGTGTGTGTGTGTGTGCCTGTGTGTGCCTGTGTGTGTGCGTGTGCCTGTGTGTGTGCGTGTGTATGTGTGTGTGCGTGTGTGTTGATTAACCGCGACACGGGAGCGGGCCAACATGTGTGCACGAATGCGAGCTCCGTAGTCGAGCGACGTATACTAGTGCCTTTTCCAGTAAATA